TCTGAACATAGGCCTCTGCCATAAATTGCCTCATATTGGGGTTTTGAACTTAGGGTCAACCCACACGTACCACAACCACAACACGTGGGCGGGCGCATTTTGTATTGGAAATGAATAGTACAATTTACACTTGCCATATTTTGCCGTCATTATCGACTGTGTGAGGAGTGATATACCGACAAAACGCAACCCCTACGGAACCACACGTCACTAGCGGCCGGCCACATTGCAAACACAACATTGCGTCGATGCCACTACTAGGGTTGCAACATAACCACAACGCAAAGACAAAACTGCATCGACACTATTCACACGTGACCACATTATGTTGCTGGGATGTGCTGTGGTTGTGGTACGTGTGGGTAGACCCTTAGCATGCGGGTTGGCAACCCTAGTTTATTAGCATTTCTCTAGGGAGATGCTACTGCCCATATTAATTTTCAGTTTCCTTTGTCGCATCTTACGATTACAGAGACCTTTGGGATAATATGCGGTAGTGGATTTCCTTATGTCGCCACGACACGGTGACAGTCGTTGGTTGTCGGTGTCGGCCGGAGAGAAAATTGCCCGCTCTAGTGGCAGAACATTTTATATGAAGCCGTTCACACTTATCCGACACCGTATTTTTATCGGCGCCGACAAGAAATGTCGGGTGTTTTGCCAGCCCTCTTAAGTCCGTAAAAAATCGTGTCGAATCTCGTTCACCTATGAGTAAGTATGGCGCTCATAGAGTAGAGTAATATATACAGAAATAGAGAGCCATCTCCTAGGATTTTTTGTCACCCAATATGAATAGTGTCGCCGCCTGGTATCATATCCCTTGAACTAATCTGTTGACTATAGATAGCTGTACGTAGTTATGTATATACAGCTATCTATACTATAGGCGGTTATATTTATATTTTAAGGGATTAGGGTTCAATTAAAGACGTATTATAGATTTCAGTAATGTTAACATTTATTTTTGTTATATATATTTATTATACACGATGTAAAAGCGTCTATTCCGCAAAATACAACAAATTAAATATGTCCACCGGGTTACCGGAATGATAAATGAAAGCGTCTATTTCGCACAACACTACACAAACATACAATGTAATTCCAGCATGAAAATGTAAACAGACAACAAAGAAACAGAGGGCTAATCCCAACTCAACCAAACTTATTGTAGCAACAACCGAAAATCACTTATAAACTATAATAAAACAACAACTTGCTCAGCGTCGGTAGCCATTATGTCATATAAAGTTGCTACTTGCCATTTCGAGAATAACCAGGATTGGTGTAGTCGCCATCTAGCGGACTTTTTAGAATTTAATGTTCGAAAGTTTACGGGGATATAAGTACAAGATGGCACTAGTGTCTTTGCAAATTATTGAACCCCAACCTAAAGTATGGAAGTGTACCCCCCCTGATGGCGCTGTTCGTATTGTGTCGGATGTCGAGCCCGGCAACCCTCTATATCACGACGCGCACGCAGAGTTGTTGCGTTTTTATTGTACCCAACGTATTGTATACGCGTGTTTGGTGTTTCGTAATAATGGAAAAAGATAATCTTGAAGATTTGATCGCACTAGTTCAGAAAAGAGATGTTCTTTGGTACAAAATATTTTCTTTTCTTTAAGAAATAAAATTAAAATATTTTTTTTCTAAAATAACACATCATAACAAAAGCTTCGACGACGTACATCGTGTATGCTTCGCATAGATTGCTAAAGAATGGTTACAGCCTCACTCGGGTCTGACAAGCGACTAGAGTGAACAAAGACGCTGACGGCTGATTAAAATACGACACCCGACAAGTGAGAACTAGCATTCAGTGGTAGAATCAGGGGTATGAAAGTCCTCAGTACCTTGCTTTTACGTTGATACTAGCTCCATTTCACAGTCGAAAAAGTACTATTTTCTCTACTATTATTACATTTATTTCTCAAAAGATGGCACTAACTAATAAGTGACTGCTAACATTTATCATTTATACCGAAGCCTAAATCACGATATTAAAGTTTTGAAATGTTGCGGTATATATACAAAATAAATTATATTTAATACGTAAAGTAGCTCATGTCATAGTAATATAAAGAAATCTGTATTGAAAGTTTTGTATTTAGTGAATTAATTAAAAATTAATTTCTAACTATGAACATTACCTATTATTTATTAAATATAAAAATAAAATATACGCAATAATACCGAACCAAGTTGATAGCGCCTTCTAGTGTATTTTTTGGTAATTTATAATCCCAACGCCATTACAGCGAAGACGAAACTTCCCTCGTTTCGTCACCAAATAATTAATTAGAGTCTATGCCCTATATAGTATATTATCTATGGGTAGAATGCTCGCCTGCCATAAAATATGTCATGAAAAATTCCCATATTTACATTTTTGACCACGTCCACCCCTTTTTGTTATTCTGCTATCACATTTTTTCAAACTTCTGCTTAATCATGTCACACAATAACCTTATTCATATGACTGAATATATTTTATTAACTTATTAATTATAATTATATTTCAAACATCGTCGCTTATCACGTAGTCATATCTTCCCTCCTAATTTTGCGTACATTTTAATTTTATGGATAGTTATAATTTTTATTTTACCAGTACCAGTACATAATCCGAAAATTAAATGATTAATTTATTAGTTGATTACTTGATTATACAAATAAAGCAAGTTCTCTAAATATGGACTACCATAGTGATTTATTTAAATAAATAAAATATAATAAATAAAATATTGTAGCTAAATCAGTGTTTTTGAATTAAATCGATCGGATCGGATCGAATCGGAACTATGACATAATGGTAAACTGTGATTAAAATGTCTTACAAGAACAAAACTTTTCATTAACTTAATTTTTTGTAAAATGTTACAACCTGTTAACCTGTAACAGGTTCACTGTCCATAGACCACATAAGGTCTGTAGAGAGACTTCCACGCCAGTCCACAGACCGTATGTGGTATGTTCGCCCATACAATTTCTAAGCCATCTGATCCTGTGGATATAAAAAGAAGACTCATATTTAATGCGGACTTGGCAGGACAGACCATAAAGATTATAAAAAAATAGAGAAATACTAGAATTTTTTTTTAATATAATGCATGAAATAAAGTGTCAAAAATGTTTTTTTTTCGAGGTTTTATTGTTTTATTATTTAGAAATTAGCTAAACAATGGGTAAATAAGTAACAAAAATGCGATAATATTCATTTCTTTTTGAAGATAGTCCTACTTTTTCCTTTCTGATACCTTTTACTACACCTATTATTCCATTATAAATATTATTCCAATATACATATTGAGATGCACTAATTCATTTACATCAAATGCAACTTTGTAATCCTATGTATTTATATTGGACTACAAAGTTATTTATGCAGTTGGCGTATCTAGAAAACGACCGAAATTTCAAAATATTTTACATTTTTCTTGATTTATACATTAAACACTAATTGTGTTCTAAATATGAAGCTTCTATGTATATTAGAAGTGCCTTAGAATTTTTATAATAGGTCAGTCAGTCAGTGAGTGAGTGACAAAGTTAAGAAACTTCGACTAGTAATAATTCTTAAACTACTTGTTAGAATTGAATGAAATTTGAAATATATCGTGTTTATAAACACGATATATTTCAAATTTTTCAATTTCAATCTTTTCAATTTTTAGTAACTAAGCAGGCATTATATATAATGCCCGCTTAGTTACTAAAAATTCCGGTTTCTGGTTTTATCCACAACGAAGTTATAGGGGATCAAATATGGCCTGAAATGCGTCGAGAAAAGAATGGTACGGTCGTGCTGCTTTTGTGTTAATAGAAACACTCAACAAAAATAATCGTCGCGACACCAAACTGTTCAATGGGAAATAGAAAGACGAAACGAAAATAACTGGCTTGCTTTCTATAAGAGACAGAGAGAGAGAGGGAGAGAGAGAGAGAGAGAAACACGCGCACGCCGCACGGCTTACAACTATAGCAAAAAGTGTCGTTACAACAGAACTCAACGAAAGTAAATGAGCGAATGATTTGAACTTCATCATCTGAAATGTCAATAATGTCGTGTCAGATGTTACAATCTGTCAATGTCACACCTCAGTATCACCTGGTGACCGGAAGGTTATTAGCCCTCATTGCACTGAGATGCCCGCAATGCACAGTTCGAAGAAATGCGACGAGACTGCTGCATAGCCGCACTGCTGCTATTCACATCGCGCTGTAGGCTTGCGGCTCTCGTTAGAAATTAGTGAATTCCTTCGTTTGCTAAGTTCTACCCGCCATCGAGCCAGGTTTATCTTTATATGGTATGAATGTATTTCAGCAGTTTCTTAATTTTATGTTGTCGGTGCGATTGCGGCTAGCCGCAACCACATTCTGCGGGTAATCTAAGTAGTGTGCTCTTACAGAGGCTCATAAAACTTAAAATGTACTACAACCCTTAAAAACCTTAAAACCCTATACGTGGTAGAGCCATGCTGCAGTTATATTAGTAGTATAGTTGTAGCACGAATGGGTCGGCTCGACCGGGGAAGGACCACGCTCTCACAGAATACCAGCGTGAAATAGTAGCTTAATGCTGCTGTATTTCGTATGGTGAGTGTAGAGAACCGGAGACCCTTTTTACTGGAAACGAGGCATTCCATCTCAGTCCTCACGGGTGCCAACGCATCTGCATTTTGATTTTTAATGGAGGATAGATGTAGATGTCTATGGGCCGCAGCAACCACTTACCATCAGGTGGACTGTGTGCTCGTTTGTCACCCTATTCTATAAAAAAAAAAAGTTGACGTCTTTAGTATAGGATTTTCTTAAAGTACCACTTGATTCAATACAATTTATTCAAAAATAAAACCAAAGGGATCTTCAATAAACAAACATTTAATGTTAATATTAACACGAAATATACAAATATATATATAAAAAACAAATAAGTTTTTTCTTGGTAACAATTAATCACAAAGCACCAAAAATATATATCCATTCTTACATATAAATTAGGTATGTATCACATTGAAGGCAAATTGGTGTACCAGGTATGTCAACACCACTGTCACACTGAAATAAAAAAATATAACATGACAATGTTATAATTTAGATGGCACTGGGCTTTCATAACATATTACGTATGTATGACCACTATTACTAATTTATATACTCAATAAAAATCTAGATATTATTTTTAATAATTGTCGAACGTAACAGTGTCGAAAGAAATTACTACGTCTCAAAATTAATAACTTTTTAAAATTATCTCAATATATACACTTCAAAAAATCAAGAAAACTGCAAACACTTTTTGTCGTTTTGCAAAATAGCACAATAATTAATAATTATTCTCTCACAGGTTACGTTTGTGACTTGTGAAAGGAAATACTCGTAAAACAGTGTCCTATAACTTATTTTCTAGTTTTGTTATATATGAGTATTTTTAATAATATATTAAAATATTTACTTAAAGTAAAATTAGTATGTAAGTAAAGAAAATTATTAAATAATCCATAAATTAGTATCTGCCATGCTATACAAGAATGTCTCTAATTCTGTAATAATTTGCTTACATTTTTATAAGATACAGAAAACCATTGTCAACAAAGGCGGCATGTTCGGCGATATTCTTGATAACACATAACAGCTTATGAGTAAGTCACACAACATGCCTATACATTTTTTAGTGCTGTGGGTGGGTGCGGTCGCATGCGACCGCTCGGGATTTGCCACACGTATGCAAATGCATGGGATTTTTACGGGGATTGAAGGGTTAAAATCATAACTTACAAGTATGCGTGTAACTACTAGTATATGTGAGGGCAATATTGTCATCCGGTTGATATGGTCACCTTATGATGATTAAAAAACTACAGCCTTCTTTGCATAGATGGCTCTTCATCGGTCAACCAGAAAATAAAAGCCAAAAGGGTGCTGCTTTATCGACGCCATTTTGATAGTTGGCAATACTGTAGATATGGTATAATTCTTTTAAGTTGATTTTCAGTGTTCCTAAATACTGCAAGTTTGATTGTGGTTTTTTTAAACATGTTAATTATAGTATACGACTTTGGTTTTTGTCTCTATCCTCCTGTAGTTTAGGTTTTACAAGGCGGCACCCTCACGTACCTTAGTAACAAATTATTTTTTTAATTTAATTTTTTCTATTCCAAGCCGTGCTGGCTTAGCTACAATCCCACCTGATGGTAAGTATTCATGTAGCCTAAGATGGTTAAGCACACTGACTTACCAAAAGCCTATATTCACTTCTTGCCTTGTAGACCCCCGCATTGTAATCTGATAGAAAGACAGATGCTGAAAACTTTTTTCACTTGGTTTACGCATGACGAACGATGTAGCAAACCGTTTGGTTCGAATGCGTGGTAAGTCAACAACTTGAGACGAACGCCTGGTTACTGGCATAATACGGCCCAATAAAAACTAACAACCCTTAAATTTACACTGTGGTGTAATTGAACTTGCATATCACATGCATAAGTTACAATTATTTAGTCCCATTTCTGAAAACGTTGAAAACTGGTGACTTAATCATAAGCAGTAATAGATACATGTTTATGTAAAGAGCAACATAATTAGTGCGTCGCATGTATGTGAAAATGGCTAGAGCTAAAATAGTTACTATAGTTATAAAATAATGAATTAAAGCTATAAATAGAGAAAATATTACAGCGATTAACAGTGATATATGACCAGTATCTACATCGAATAGCACATGCAAGTCTTGTAAGTAGGAAAGTTCCGAGTTAAAAAGTAAAATAAAAAATTCCATTCAGATATTAAATGGTAGTTGCTTACTAAACAGAAAAAATCAAGAAATAATAACAAATGAGCAATAATAAATAATAGTCCGGCAGCATTGAAGTATAATGTACTACGTACTAGAACGGACGACGTGAATAAAATCTGTGTGCCACGTTCGGCAGTGCGGGTCGCGCGGGAGGAGGCGGCCGAGTCAAAGAATGCGCGAACCATGGATGTTAGAGAACAGGAGAACGATCGCCGTACAAAAGAGTGTCCCAGAAATATGGACACCATAAGTGAGGCGCTGCGATCGCTAAGTTCGCTCAATAAAAGTCATTTTCAGTCTATTTTTCCGATCAGATGCTAAACCACGTCCAAGCACAATAAAATATTTCTCCATTTTTTAATGTTTCTTATTGTCAAAAATTAAAAAAAATACGTGTGGCACTCGGGGACTGCCGCGGTAAAGCTATTGCATAGCATTTTTTATCAACTTATGCAATTATAATTATTTATTTATTTTATTTATGCAGTATTTTTTTCTCTGATATTAATTCAAGTTTTTTCTTTAATGTTAAATTCAGTTTACACTTTTTGAGCGTGGTGGCCGATAAGAAAACATTTTTTTTCCTTTATTGAATAAATGAGAAGTTAAATACGTCTAGTCGCACGCACACAAACACCGTGCCGAAGTCTGCGAACTGAAACGATGCTATACGATGTTAGTTTTGGGGTACCATCCAATTCTCAACACCCCAATTCAATAAATATAACATACTAATACAACACTCTTTCCATAGTACATAACTAGTTTAATCAACTTATTTTTCAAATGCACATAAAAGCAATGGTCATCTTCAATGTTTCTTGGCAATTGTATTAACTTCAACAGGTACATTAATTATCTGGCCATAAATACCGTACTGACTATTAACGTGTCTCAGTCTACGAATCTGCATGAACGGTATTTTCGGGGAAATCAACCGTTGCTCGATAAGGTTTAACGTTGGTAAATGTGATGGAATTTTCGGATATGCAAAACCATTGTAGGTTGACATGAGAGGAATTTTTTCTTTTCCCAAAGATGTATAACACGTAGAGCAGACTTGAAAAATTTCACCAGGTATGTAATTCTACAAAAATCAAATTCGTATTATCAAGATATAGAAAGAAAAATATAAAGTGAATAATTAAAAAATAAAATTACCTGCAGTATTGTTTTCAAAATACTTTCATGTTTACTGGTCGACTTTTTCAAGTCTCCTTTTCACCATAGTCTGTCGCAAATAATACAAGAATGACCGAATGAATTACTCGTAAATTCTTTATAAAAATTAGTATGACTTGTACTGTGTTTACGCTAATTTGTATAGACTGAATAGTACCATCATCAATAAAATCCATAGTATTTTCACCAATTCGATCTTCTCTATCAATCTCAATTTCATTTTCATGATTGTTATGGTTATCTTCGGTAGGATCTTCATCATAATTATCACGCAATAGTTCAATATTGGCATCAACATGGGCTTCATTTTGGGTAGCGTCTTTTACTATCTGCAATAAATCTGATACTTCATAAAAAGGTGTGAAATGTTGTTCACGAAGATGAAGATGAATCCAGTTTTGTGTATCATTCGCTTTAAAATGACAAAAGATAGTGTCTTCATTCGTTGTAGTTATGTTGTAAAAACAATAATGTACACAAATATTTTGATTGTACATTTTTGAGAATAAGTACAAACAATCCAAATCTCCGTAATCATTACTGCTTGATAGAATGTTATATGCTTCTTGCTGATTGTGGCAGCAGTTTAAATAGGGTGAATCGCGTAACTGATTTCTCAAGTCACAACTCTCAATTTGAAGTTGCAAAACATTTATGAGCGAGTGGAATAGACAATTACCATCGCCAGGAATTCCTGTGTTTCTGTGTAGAATAACTTCGGGAGTAATGCATTCATTACGCTGTTCATAAATATGAAATTGTAGGCTGTGAAATTGATTTTCCCGTAGCGTTACATTTTCTATGTATATTTTCAACAGCGCTACATTGCACGATATTCTCTTCATTACTGCACAATTTTTGTCTTTTTCTGTAAAAAAAATGATGAAATCGTTAAATTAAATAATATTGAAGCATATATTACAATTTGTTTTTAAATAAATAAATAAAAAATATTATTATTAAATCAAATTACATATCCATGTAAGATTTTTCTGCATTATTTTGACGAAATTTCCTTTGACGTTCAGCATTTGATTTTGGTACTGTTTCTTTTTTTTCTTCATTTTTCTTCAAATCTTTCTGACGCTGATAATATGCCCTTTGACGTGCATTAGTTTTTTTTCTTTTTTAGCTCTTTACGCTTTTCTTCTCTATAAAACGAAAATATCTAGGTATAAATAATAGGCATAAATAATAGTGTAATGACACACCAAAACAAAATTATTCATTTTTTTTAAATGAATAATTTTGTTTATAACGATATTAAGAAGTGATTATCGAATTTCGCGCGATGTACATTTATATAGATATAATATCATATATACTTTCTCTGCGCGGCATTCATGTGCATTATCTATACACCAAAAACAAAGGTACTGAATAGTACACGTGCTTGGTTCGATGGCTTCTGTTATATACATAATGAAGAATGAATAAAAATATATATATATATATATATATATATATATATATATATATATATACATACGTACATATTGAGAATCTAAATTGAGAATTTAAACTATACGCGTGTGTGTGTTTGTGTGTATAAAAGAGGGCTACTTTTAATATCGCTCATTTTAATATCAAAAATTTAGGTTATCTTTATAGCACTATTATATTTTCAATTCAAAATTAATACTGCATTTGTGATAATAATAAAATGTATGTATATAGAGTACTCACTCATTTTCTTTCACTATTTTTTCGTGACTTTCTTCATTAATAATAAATGCACTTTGTTCCTTCATACTCAAAACACTTTATACACAAATTTTACAAGTACAGCTATTCACTGTTGTACATAAATACCTATACACCTACATACTTTCTCATAAACAGCTGCTTATGTATTCGTCCGATTTCGGAGCAGCTCGTCTCGATTCGTGCGAGCTTCGTAGAGTCGTACAATACGTCTAGTTGCACGCACACAAACACCGTGTCGAAGACTGCCGAAAAGAAACGACGTTAGACAATGCACGGCCTTCAAGCCACACCTCCCTGCCCGTCGGAGTGGGGAGCGTGAGGTTTTTTTTCGTTACGGTTTTTCTGGATTCGTTCCCCGCGCTTAAGGCCCGCGATAGAAGCTATGAAATAGCTTAATAATTGATGGAATCAGGCGTTACTTTGCGGAAATCCATTATAATAAAGATATTAATTAATTTGCAACCTTCCGCTAACTAAATACAATGATGTGTCTTACCTGGATTGAAGAGCACCTCCCGCCCTCCCTCAATTGCGTGCACCAATCCCGTCACCACTAATCGCAGCACCACTACTCCCAACACCACTACTCCCGGCACCACTACTCCCAACACAATGTTCCAGACACACCATCGAAGATAATACGACACGTGTTTCGCCTCTACACGAGGCATCAACAGGTGATGTAGACTCTACGGCGGCTGACCGCCAAGTATAATCTTAGCGGTCAGCGAAACACGTGTTGTATTATCGTCGATGGTGTGTCTTTCCTGGAATATTGATGTTGGGAGCAGTAGAGCCGGGAGTAGTGGTGTTAGGAGTAGTGGTGTTGGGAGTAGTGGTGCTGGGATTAGTGGTGACGGGATTGGTGCATGCAATTGAGGGAGGGCCGTTGATTGCTCTTCAATCCAGGTAAGACACATCATGGTATTTAGTTAGCGGAAGGTTGCAAATTAATTAATATCTTTATTAAAAATTAAAAAATTACGAAGCATGAAAATTTTCTCACCAATGCCGCGATGAAAATTTGTACATTATTCAAATAACTTCATCTACTTGTACTCATAAACAGCTAACTCCGCAGCCACTACTCACCGATGGCAGCGCCGCTATAAATTCTACACATTTTCAAGGACAGGCGGGCTATGCTTTAGTACGTAGTGATCGTTTTCCTGTTCTCTGACCTCCATGGCGCGGACACTAACATACGTCAAAAATGGCTCGGTAAAAAAATGGCATACTGTCATTTAAAAATGATGCAAAAGAGCATAAAACGAGTTGTTTTTCATGTACTTACTTGTGAAACGTCACACCTTGACTTTTTTGATTTGCCGAGAATAATTGGAACAGTCTTTTACGATGCATTTTGAAAATTTTAAATGTTCAACCACACGCGGTCCAGTGGACCGCAAAACGCAACGAAAAACTTTGCTTTGAGGTGCGCTCTCTAGTACATTATACCTCAATGTCCGGCAGTTAACACTTGAGTCGTCGGGTTATAAACGTCAGTAACGATGGAAATGTGCCAGCTACTTGCTAAATATCGATAATTTCCTACATAACGCGCGGTCTATTGCCCAAATACTATTCAATTTTAAGTCAAAATGACTGTGACACCACGAGACTTAAAAACTGAATAGCGTTTGCGTATTTCGCCATTATACTCTTAGGAAATTTTACGAGGTTGATTACTGATTGTAAATGTGTAAGTAGGTATACAGTGGATCACTCGCACTACTTTTATAAGTTTCTGGTTGTCTGCTGAATCATGAGGTTCCGGCTCAAATCAGTTACTAAGTTTTTACTTTGAGAAAATCTCAGTCTTTAATCAGGAAGTTGGCAGTGTATCCCTATACCTCAAGCACAGGCAGTTAGTTTTACGCCTGATATATCTCGGGTCGTATCGGGTTACCGTCCCATCGGACTATGAGAAACAGACAGACAGAGTTTACATGTGCTTGCTCACATACCCATGTTGGCTATTCTTCGTTGAGACTGGAAGCCGTGACCGAAGTTCGGTCTGGAGGAAATTATTATTATTATTGTAACCTCATTTCCTTTCTCTTATCAAATAAAGTTTATATGTCTAAAATTAATTTAATTGCCTGATGGCTTTCTGTAGGTATAGATAAAACTCTTCTTTCTGCTAGTTATAGATCTCAACGTTACAATTAATTGACATACACTCGTTGTGAAATGTCCTCCAAGCCGAAGTTCGGTGCACGAGTATGTGCTAATCTCATAGTCCGATGCAACGACCCGACATGAATGGAGAAATCAGGCGCAGGGCTTCTGAGGCACGGGAGTAAAACTCTAACCAACTTCTTACTCGGGACAGTAACGGCAATTTTTTGACAGAATAACCCAATAAATGATTTTTTTGACCTGACTCATGATTCGAATCCGGGAATCAGGAGTCGCGCTCAAAACCATTAGACAAATGAGTTTTTTTTAGACACTCGCTATTTAATATGTACATCATTGCGGCGATCCCTAAGCCCAGCGATTACGAGCAAAACAGATAGATAAACAAGTAAAATTGAAAATTTTGTACAACCGACTTCAATATCAATAAAATGAGGGCATCAATGTAGTCGAAGTCAATTAAACACGCATTATTAAGGATAACTCAAAAACTACTGGTCAGAAATTTATATAGGACCTGCTTTCAAATTGAAAAAAAAAGAATTTTCAAAATCGATTCACCCAGAAAAAGTTCTCAAGCTAACACGCAAAAAAAGAAAACATACAGTCGAATTGAGTACCTACTCCTTTTAGAAGTCGGTTGAAAAAGATGATACCGACGACTCAGATGATAACGGCTAGACTATAGTTTGTCGGTGAGTAAACAGATTCGTGTTTTGTTTTCTTACACCAATTTAGTTTCAAACACATTATTCTATAGTTGTGACTTATAAGTAAGATATAAAATAGTACACTCATCCACAAAGCTTTGCTTATAAAAGCGTCATTAGACTTACCTACAATTTGCTATGGTTACTATGTTATATTGCCTACCTGTTGTTACCTGGCACAGTTGTAACATCGTTCTAGAAATCATTAGAGTAGTAAGAAAAGACAGATTATTAATTTATTATTTGAATCTAAATGCGAAAGAAATTAATAAAAAGGTGTTTTCATGCAAAGCCTTTTTGTAAAACAACTAAAGCCACACCATTATGAGTGATTTGACAGTGGCTTATTTACCCAAAATTCCAGCCATAGCTCGCTGGTTTATGCGTAGTGGCTGCACTGTGGTGCGCATTACTTTGGCCGTAGTTCTTGTTCTGATTCGGAGCCTGATAAGCGGGCTGATATCCTGATGGATAATTTTGAGTATTAGCACTCTTGGAGTTGGAACTGTACGATGAATAATTAGGGTTCTCCATGATCGGTCTAGTATTGAAAAGTCCATTCAAACCTCCGCTTTTGGTAAGATCTCCCAGAATATTCCCGAAGATGTTGGATAAGCCTGAGCCACCAGTGCTTGTTCCGCCACTGCCACTGCCACCGCCAGTGCCACCGCGATTTGCAAATTTGTTCAAAGTATCGAATAAGCCTGAGCCACCAGTGCTTGCACCGCCACTGCCACTGCCAGTGCCAGTGCCACCGCCATTTGCAAATTTGTTCAAAGTATTGAATATGTTATCAAGAGGACTCTTTGTTCCGGTAGGATTTGTGCCACCGTAAGGTGAGCTACTTCCGTAAGGGTTACTTCCTCCATGATTCGATGATCTTCCATATGGTGAACTGCCTCCATAAGGCTTACTTCCTCCATGATTCGATGATCCACCATATGGTGAACTGCCTCCATAAGGGTTACTTCCTCCATGGTTCGATGATCCCCCATATGGTGAACTGCCTCCGTAAGGCGACTGGCCGCCATATGGTGCATTCCCTCCATAGGGCGAATTTCCACCATAGGGAGAACTTCCTCCATACGGCGAGTTTCCACCATACGGTGAGCTTCCTCCGTACGAACTGCCTCCCGTGTTTGAAGAGGGGCCAGGAGGTGGAGCTGGTGCGGGATAGTTGGGAGCGGGGTCGAAGTTGTTTGTCGGAGAATGTGGCACAGGTTTCGGAACAGATGGCTGAGCTGGTTCTCCGTGGGATCCTAAAAACAAACATTGAAGTTAGTTTATGAAGTCCTAAAGATTAAATTTTTATGAAATATTTTGTATGGATTACAATGTGCATGGAAACAGCTACATTTATCACATTAATTATTTGATTATATGTGCTGAAAAAAGATTGTTTTTTCCAAACTTCTATAACAGTTTACTTAACAAAATTAGTTTTTTTTAATTTAAAACCATGAAGGGATGAAACGAATATAATTGTGATTAAAGTGAAACGAATAAAAATCAAAGTGGTTTATAGAAATCAAGGTAGCAAATTACGTAAATCATACGTTTCGGAAGTAATTATTGGTCTAAAGTTACCTTGTACTTGAGACTTCTTTTTGCAAGTAGGATATGTGCCGCAGTTAGAGCTGTGGCCGAAGCTGCATGGGTCTTCAGCTAGCACGCATACTTCGCTGTTGAGACATCCGATGTCTTTACATGTGCGTCCATATTCTGTAATAATAAAACAATACATTTACTGTACGCTATGAAAACAAATAATATAACAAGCTACAGAGAGAAACACAAAAGGTGGTGTTATTGCTATATTATAATAATATACGAGTTTAGAAAACTAAAATAACACTCATTAATAATAAGTTGCGAAGATCCTGGTAATTATTTTATTTTATCCCGGTGATCCTGATCAGGATACTCTACTGGGATAAAATTATTAAATTATTATATTATTGTCATCGGTCCTTTATACGAGTACAAATTTTTAAGTAGATCGGTCGTGTACTAGTTGGTGAACATTGCCTTAAAATATCCCGTTACATACCTATGTTGGGATAGGTAGATAGGTAAAAAGTTTTTATTTATGCGTTTTAAAAATATTTTTGAAATGACACTTTCTGATGTTACACTTGCTTAGTGTAACGCAAATTCGGTATAAAAGATATAATTATTATAATGTGGTTACGTTCATTAGTAACATGTTTTATTAAATAAATGTTAAGGTTTTCGATGTTACATTTGAGTTTATAGTCTGTATACTTATTAAATATGAGTATGTTTCATAAATTATTATTTAAATTTCAACTTTATTTACCACAGTAAATACCTCACTCCGTACATTTTTATTGTATCCATTTATTTCCATAAACTATTAGCATAAAAACGAAGAAAAAAAAACTTCGCGGAAACATGATAGCTTTAACGTTACACAAGTCATGAGCCACGCTTATTATGAAATCGCATCATAAGGAGAGCTGTTAATCTAAATAGTTAAGATAAAAAGTTATCACATATTCAGATATTTTTTAGTTTTCAATCTCAAATACCAATTTTTAATCTCCTAGGTGGATTCGATTTAAGGGCATTTCGGTTAAAAGGATTCGATTAAAGAGTAAGGGGTTTTATATACTTGAGATTTAAAAAATCAATAGTGTTACGGCAAAATGAAGTTGGAAACAATGCAATTTATAGTTTGTTTTGAAAAAATAGTGTTCCATTTATAGTAGTAAAAACTTATGTTTCTACCGCATAATATATTTTCTCAAACTAATCACACAGAGCGCATTTGAAGTGAGACTGGGATTTTTAAGAACATTTATTCTGAACCAGGCTTATCGCATTACCTTACGACACAAAAATGTTAAAAGAACTATCTATGTATTTCTCTTCCCCTTCACCATCAGTAATTTTTTATATTATAAGGATGGCAAACGAGCACACAGTCCACCTGATGATAAGTGGATGCTGTTCCGCATAGACATCTACATTTATGTCACTCCTGAGGACTAAGATGGAATGCCCCGTTTCCAGTAAAAAGGGTCTCCGGTTCTCTACACTCACCATACGAAACACAACAGCATTAAAAGCTGCTATTTTACGCTGTTATTCTGTGAGAGCGTGATCCTACCCCGGTCGAGCCGACCCATTCGTTCTACAACCATAGCTGCAGCATGGCTCTACCACACTAAAGTTAGTAAAATTCTGCACGACCTGAACCTCGCTCACTGCAGGAGTAATTTGCTTTAATTGTCACAGTAGGAAGATTAAACGACGATCGCAGTACAAGACGTCACTCCTGTGACATTGATGTCCGTAACCAGTCTGCGTATTTTATGGAAAACCATTACTTTTGCTCTCACGTTTTTCATAGTCCCTCTTATGCCCCGGAGGTGTGGCTTCGGGACATAGCGAGGTTTGGGATTAATTTACGTCGCTACTACACGGCAAACAAATTGTCGTTCCTTCCTTATGTTAAGGGTACTCCTAATGTAGCCCATTTTCAAAATATCGCCAATCCAGTTGATAAAACTTCGTCTAGGGCATCCCTCCCTGACTCTGACGTTCATTTCTGCAGTATAAATTTGCTTTGTCACTCTTTCCTCGTTCATTCTTTCTACACGATCAAACCACCGAAGCATTCATTTCTTAATCGTGTTCACAACATCACCTTCCTTAGTTTCTCTTTTAATATATATCTTAGTGTATAATATTACTACTTAGTTTTATTTAAACATAATATGACAAATGAAATGTTGGAATAGTGGTGTATTTTATAAAATATAATCAACAGGCCCAAGAAATAAAATTTCAAAACAAATAACAACCATTCTATTCGAACGAAGTCGCGGGTACACCTGGTAATTAATATGTGTATTTAATTATTCGTATTATGACATTAAATCTTTAAAATTAACTTAATGTAAACCCTTACATTACCAGGACAAGAAGTCCGTCGGTTCAGGTACCACCTTACAAACTTACTAGTATTTCTGTCGCCAAACAGAGCAGTTCTGTGTACCGGTCTGAAAGGTAAAAATAACCAGTTCAATGTACACTAACTATACACACACACAATATGTAACAAAAACCCTGTGGTTCCCGTTAAGTGCGTCATCAGAATCAGTATTCAAACGTATAGAAATAACTTTACTTCAGAAAACTCGACATAAAAATAATCAAATTAAATTTTAATTAAATAATATTTGTAAATTTTATGTGGATTGATTACCTCTGCCTGGAATTATCGAGAGTGGCGGGCGGCGGGCGGCGGCCGGCGGTGACGTACATCAAAGACGGGGCGCGCGCGCGTCTTACCTACACTAACTGCACACTGAGGTCGTGACCTCGTCACATTACAGCTGTTATAGTCAAACACTAATTTATCACTATGTCTACTTGCGACACCGACTTATAATGTCTGAACGCACGCGTTGCAACAGACATTTCGGACTTTATTTTTTCAAAGGCTGCGACTATACGCATACGCATTTCTGCCTCGGTATCGCATGTTTTTTGGAATACAGTCTACTTAATCGTCCCCAGAGATAAAAATCTAAAGGTTTGAGATCAGGTGATCGTGCCAGCCAGTTGACCGGTCCACCGCGGCCAATCCATCTTTCACCGAACTCAGTATCCAAAAAACTTCTTACACAACGGGAGAAATGCGGTGGAGCACCATCGTGTTGAAACCACATGCGACGAACGAGGTCTAAATTTATTTCGTCAAGTTCATTGCTTAGTTCTTCTCGCAAAAAACGTCCGTAGTTTTCACCGCTCATTGTGTGGTCTAGGAAATACGGACTAATAATTTTGTCACCTATAATTCCCGCCCACACATTGATTTTCCATCGGTGTTGAAAGTGGCTTGGTTTATACTGTGGCGGCGCTGTCGTCACGCCACAAGCGAAATACACCGAAGCCTAAATCACCTACTTCCTACCACGGCCAAAATACGAATGCGGATTTGTCGTTGACCATACGTGTTCATTATGAGCATTAAATACACCTGTTCTTACAAAAGAGCATTCATCCGTAAAAAGTACGCGGTTCAAAAACTCAGAATCTCCTTCAACCTTATCAAGTAACCATCTACAGTAATCCATTCTCGGCTCGTAGTCGTTGGGAAGAAGACACTGAACTCGACGATAATGATATGGGTGCTGGCCATCATCTTTGAGGGCTCTCCAAACGCGCATATGGTTCACACCTAGTTCACGTGCCACCGAGCGCGTGCTCCGCGTCGCATCTTCCTCAAACATGTCGAGAATGTGCTCCTCGATGTCGTCGTCGTACATCCTCGGTCTTCCTGAATCTGTACGTTGTTGATCACGGCCATACACACTGCCAGTATTGTTCATACGAATGTGAAGTCGTTGGAACGTCATAGCCGACGGCAATTGTATATTTCGTAGAGTAGCAAAGCACTCCCCGTAAAGTCTTCGTGCTGCTGCATAATTGCAGTTACATTTCCCGAGACACATCAACATATTAAAATATACCTCGTTTGAGTAAGACATCGCACACAAGTCACTCACGGCGGAATATTAATTTCGCAATATAGAACACAACCGTCAATATCAGTGCTAACGCGCTACTGGTGCTTGATGTTTGTTTGTTTGCATAGACGTGGCAAAGCTATTGTGCTCTATAACATAATTTTGATATTTTCTAAATCGATAAAAATTTCGTGATTTTTTTTATGTTATTTTTTTAATAATAGTTATTATTTATTTATTTATTTATTTCAGACAGCGTCCGTAAGTGCTATTAAAAAAATTAAATTATAGCTAGGATTTGATTAAAACTACTTTTACGGATTTTATCGCGTTTATTTTTACTTTTTATTTTTAATTCCCGACGTTTCGGGCGCTTTCCAGCACCCATGGTCACGGGGGACTGAGATGACTGACGTCCCGATGTCATTGTTAAACCCGGAGTACCTTCAGCTTTTTTAATTATTGTTTATGGTCCGATCTATGCAAAATGAACTGACTATGTCTTGAGGTCTTGCAGTGGTATGCTTGGGTTTAGTTTTAATTTTATTGATTATAGGATCCCAAGCAGGTGGTAGTACCCAGCCTCCTTCTCTATTGAAATTAGGATGTTTTTTAATTTCAATAGCCTCACGTATCATCCTTGGTAGGAATCGGCGTTCTTTCGCGAGGATTTGTGGTCTATCAAATCTGATGTAATGGTTGGGGCCGTCTAGGATATGATCACAAACTGCAGACTTCCCGGAACGTTGATGCTTCACATCAGCTATATGTTCTTTTACGCGGGTCCTAATTGATCTTTTGGTTTGTCCTATATAAGAGAGACCACATTCACAATCAAGCTTGTACACTCCTGCATCTTGTAGAGGAATATGACACTTGACGGATGGTAGGAACTGACTAATCTTCTTCGGCGGCTTGTAGAATGTTGTAATAGAAGCTCGCTTCAAGATATAGCTAATCTTGTCTGTGACACCTCTGACATATGGTAGTACAGCAGGCACACGCTCGACTGTGGCCGGCTTCACTCGGTCACTGTGACGTAGGCGCGGGACCCGAAGCTTGTTGTCGTGCAGAACTTGCTTGACGTACTGAAGCTCGGCGGCCAGGTGTTTGCTGTCACAGATCCCTCGTGCTCTCTGTAACAAAGATTTGCCCACGGTAGCTAACTGTGAAGGATGGTGGTGAGATTCACCGTTTAAATATCGGTTTGTATGGGTCTTT